TAAACAGGAAAATGACCTGGACGGGTCAATATACTAACTTTTTCAGTTTCGTTCCTCTACAACAAAAAAGGAACCTTATCAAGACACTACATCATAGAATCAAGACTATATGCACTGTGGATACGATTGAAGATGAAACAAAGAGATTGTTTACAACCCTGAAAGAAAATGGATATCCAGAGAAATTTATAAATAAAAACTTAGCCAATAAAAGACAGCGTAGAGAATGTCCAACAGTAAATAGAAAGCCTCTATATATACGCTTACAATTCAGAGGAGACGCGCCGAGTGAAATGTTAAGACTTAAGTTAAGTAGATCAATTCAAAGGACTTTCAACGCAGCCAAACTACAACTAGTATTCTCCACACGACCAATAATCACTCCGAGGTTGAAAGATAAATTACCTAGACTAGCCACCTCCTTCTGTATCTATCAATTCAACTGCTCCTGTGGAGCAAGTTATATCGGCAGATGTTCTAGGAATTTGTACATTCGGGCTCGTGAGCACCTACCCGTGTGGTTAAGCAAAGGTGTTGTCAAAACTGTTAACAGCTCCATCTTAGACCATTTAGTCCAAACAGGACATACAGCCAACATGGAGCAATCTTTTGCAATAATCTATCGTGTCAACAGCAGTCTACCTAATTCCGTCAGACTGCGAATCCTACAGACGGCTGAAGCAATTGCTATTCGGATCAAAAAGCCAGAGCTTTGTATCCAAAAGAAGTATGTTCAGCCTCTCCTTTTACCCTGGCCAACTAGCTAATAATCAATCTTATAATGTGGTGACATAATCTGATTAATGTTCATTTTATGTCCACCCCTGAACCTACTATATTTGACCTGATTATTTTACATATTACGCAATTTCCGATTTGTAATCACAATATTCTCTCTCTCTCTCTCTCTTACCCCATGTTGACCATATTTATTCTGATCATGATTTATCTCACAATTTCATTTCACTTATAAACTGATTCAAGTTAACACTTCATATTAGTCAGCCCCAACATTAACGATTTTATTTTTATATAACAAACAATTCTTGATTCACATATTACCATTTCCAAATGATGATGTACTCTCTGCCTTAAATCTGGCCAATTTTATGGATTATTAATCTGGATTTATAATTGTAGAGTGCCTGATGAGAAATGATTGAAAAGAAAGAAAGATATGAAGCGATTTTAATCTCTTAGTTTAAGAGAAGATAGAGAGTGTATCCATCTACTCCATTGTGATTGATTCTGAGCCATGTCACCAAGAGTCTCTAACCATTGGTTACGATAGTCGTTTGGACTCCAACCAAGTAGTCTGCGTTTATCAACATGGCTCAGATTAGAAGTTAGTGACTTCAAGCACTGATGCCACGTTTTGGTTTGGTCACCCCTAACCTTTTCCCAGCCACATATACGGCCTCTATCCACCATGGTTATCAAAAGGTAAATGAATATAAAGTCTATAGATTGAGTGCTGAATATCTATCTTTATCAAAATGTTTATTCAAAAGTATTCACATATTAAGACGAACCGTTTCTAAGATAAACTGGATAAGAAACTTATGAAGAGAGAAGGTCTAGGCAGTTTATTAACCGAAGTCTGACTTTTGTTTTGCTAGGCGATATATCCAATCCCCTAGTTCACCATAGTCTTAACATTCCCTCTTATTTCCTTATTTGTTTCTTGGTACGTGTTTCTTTTCTCTTCTTTATCGCTTAATATTCGTCAAGCGGAACATTATCCCTTATATCTCTGTTCTATATCTCATTTTTAAATTGTTTTGACAAATGTTCTTTGTGATGTTCACCTTTCTCATCAGCGTTAAGTGACATCTCTTTTCTATATGTTGTTTCATTCTTATCTCATTTTGATTACTACGTAACTTAAAATTTTCATTGAAGTTGAGCGTTGCCTAGGACGCTGCTTACCTATAAAGTACTACTTATGTAACATACTGAACATATATCCATCAAGTAAGTAATAATATTAAGATTGTATTTAATGGAAACCTGTTTAAGTAGTTACGTGCAAATAGCCTATCAATAAATAACCTACATTGCTTTGATGTAATCAACTCCGCCTGGAGTCCCTCCGGGGGCTACTGCCGGTCCCAAGCCCTGATAAAGGAGGAGGGTTGAGCATGGGGTTGGCTACCCCCCTCCGTAGAAAACTAACTCGCTAAAAAAACGCTAACCAGAAAAAAATTATTCAAACCTTTTAAACTCTGCCATGGGAGTCAGAAGGTCTTTATTTAGAAGAACTATGACGCCTCATGATGAAAGCCGAGTTCCTTCGGAAGTTAAGTAAGCACTTCAAACTGACTATAGTTCGTGTATACCAATCACACTGATTGTTGAAACAAATCGAACCGTTGGAATATAGAGGCCAATAATCTGAAAACTCTAACTTCACCTCATGAAAAATAAATGAAGTAATATCAACTTATAGTGAACTGTACTTTCTTGATTGTATCCTATTCTCAGTGAATCTATAAAGAAGATACCATGTGAATTTTAGCCAGAATATTCACCTTCTTAAAGTAATAATAACATCACATTAATCAACAGGATTAGTTTGTATGTTATTCATCAAACCTCAAGATCATCGTACCAAGTATTCCTGAGATTCGAGAGAAACAGTATAACCTCACAAAGAAAACAATGTGAAGTAGGGCATTGTAATTAAATCATGACTGTGCGATTTTTCTTTAACATGCTTCAGTAAGATAATGTAACTAAAGTGAAAAAGTTATTGCTTTAGTTATTATGAACGTATTTTCACTTGTTTCCATGCTTTTCATTCAATACAGTCCATTCTCAAAACTCTTCTGATCACCTTATGTAATCCTACTTTAAATGTATATCTGATTATACTGTTGTTAGAAAGACATCATTGAAAAGTTAATGAATCTCTCGTCTGAACCACGTTGTTCTTTTCGTTCTTATTTACGATTAGATCAGTTTCATAAATTCCATTCATTCATCATTAGTTCTATTGTAATGGTATAAAACTCAGATGGGGACAACTAGTTTATTATTACGTACAGAATATCATCAAATAATACGAGAACCATACATTGAATGCTTCATTTGAAAATCTTCAATCAACTGTCTTTTACATTCTTCCAATTCACAGTTCCTTTCTATTTCCGTTTCTATTTACTTCAATTCGATCTTCTTAGCCTTCTGCTGCCAGCCACTCAGCTTTCGATTAGTGTCACCTACTATATATGTCTGTTGACATATGTAACATACACCACAATTTGATCTTTGTCATTATTATCTTTGATGTGTCCACAACCTTCTCGTGTATAATGAATTTGTTTGCAATTCCTTCATTTCATAAATTTCATTTTATCCTTTAATCCTCATGATGATGTGTATATAATTTCAATCGACTTCACTTGTGTATATAAGTTGACTTCCGTATGCAGTTTTGGTAATAATATTTCATGGTTTTTAAGTAGCTGATGAGGACTCGAGGAAATAACATGAATTCATGCTATCCTATCCGAATACTTGTTCATGATCTATTCAAGTTCATAAACTAGCAACTATACGTGTGAAGCAAATCATAGATTGTCAGCTTGCAGTAATACATATTTGAGAACTGATCTATCCAAAATAGAGAACTGTTCGTTAAATAAGTGCGCCTCATGTTTCCTACTGTCATATGTTTACAATTTTCATACAGTTGAACAGGTTCTGTTGATAATTGTAGATGATAAGAGAATCAACGTAAAAAGACATCTGGTGGTTGAAATATATATGACCACACAGTTAGGAATGAACCGATAGTAGATATTTCTCAGTGAATCAAATGAGACTAACATCCTATTTGGATTCGGCGATGAGCAGTCATAACCTGACTGCTGTTCTAAACGACTGTAATAACCGGTGTGCCTACCAACTATCCAAAACAACTTAAATAAGGAATTGCAAAGATTAATGTTGATTCTATTCTCACTTCACAAGTGAAACAGAATTGTGACTGACGTTTTTATGGTGCTCATCATCTGTTGTACTGCTCACTGGACAAGCCAACAAAATGTGCGCCATTCAAAGTCAAACCATGGACTAATTAGACAACAAGACGTGTAAGCACATTAATAATATTATTCGGAACTACATGTAATAGTGATAACCACTAGGTTTCGAACGGGCGTATGTCTTCAAACTTCATTGAATTACTCTTTGACCGAATGTAATCGTGTATCATCTGGTTTTTGTGAACTAACTGGAAGTGTCGGATCCCTAACAGTCATTTGAATGAAAATTGACTCATTGTTTAAACGACATCTGCACATAGTGGATGAGTCAACTCAGGGAACCACTCAGATGTTTAGCATACACTTGATGTAACGAAATCCTGTAGTAGTCTAAATCTAGTCATATATCAAAAACCGACACATTCAAATTGGTATGTTGATTTTAACTCTGCACATCCATTCAGTACAAAAATGCCCCTAGCATTATATCTTTTCACAAGAGCAATCAAGATGATTACCTCAGAAAGAAACTGTATTTCTGTAAATAACCATCTTAATGAAATTTCTTGGATTGATACCGTAGTTTTACCTTACCCCCAAAGTACAACAGAAGAACTACAACACATATTAAGCACTTACAAAATGGTGTCTATTTCACCAATCACTTTGATCAGTATATAAACACGTGGATCTGACACAATACAACATCCAGCAAACAGTCTTTCATCATTGAATGTCACATAGAATCTCCACAGAATAGTCACTTCCTCTCTGTTTCGAAGTATGTTGACAGACAAATTCACAATCTCCATGAAAATCAGAGATTTACAATAAAATGAAAACGGTTATACACCATAGATAATTTTATGTCAAATTCAATACACCAACAAAATGAACGTAGAAAGTCACAATAAACAGAGTAGTGAATGAGACTACAAATGGTTATTCCATGTCAGATTCGAATCAATCTGAAATGTTGATGAGAGGATTTCAAATACGATAAAGATCTAATCAATTACAATGAAATACTAAGATGTAGTTTGAATTGTCCATTTTCGGAATGTATATTTTTGAAGTTGTTAATGGAATGTCAACTTGTAAATGTGGATGTGAAGGATAAATTATTTTCGATGTAACTGATGAACAAATAGAAGTGAGATCCAAAAGATAATCCTCCATTAACTGCTTCAATATCACCACAATGAATGATGGAAATCCTTTTGCCTTTCGTACAAATGCTTCTACATGATCCGACGATTCCTAAAATTAAATTATTCAAACAATATATAAACTTAGATATTGAACAGCTTTAACTCCGTCTGGAGACCCTCTGGGGTTAGAGACCATATCCCGTAGAAAAATAACTCGTTGAAAAACGCCAATCAGAAAAAATAATTTAAACCACTTAACCTCTGCCTTGGGAGTTAGAAGGTCTTCATTTAGAAATGTTATGACGCCTCATGGTGAAAGCCGAGTTCCTTCGGAAGTCACGAAGCTAATGCTTCAAGTTCTTATGTTGATATGGTGATAATGAATGAATGAGTGAACAACATTTTCCTTAATATGTTCATGAAATAACCATCTAGAATAAGTAAACATATTGAAACAAATGTTTCAACATAGTGATTAATGAAGCTTTAGCTCAACAACTCCAAACAAGTTGTTCATTGGCATAGCTTCCTTACTTAACATTATCAACTATCTTATGGATGCCTATGCCAATATCGTTATGTAACGAATAGATGATAACGGAATTCGATATAAGAAAATTGAGCAACAGAGTTGAAGAGTCGCTTATCTTTCATGAAATTGATCATGGTGATTATTGATGTGTGATATGATTTTTGACTTTGAACATTCCTATTAAACATTAACACACAGTGGTTGCGTGCGAAAACTACCTAAGAAAAAGTAAACTATGAAATCACTTACTTCACCAAAACTTATCCGCTCCATTGTTCCCCATTTCAAACTATGATGCTGACGTAAAGTCACCAATTTCTTAACGAGATGAAGTTTTGATAGATTATTTCCCTCAGCAAGCTGAATCTTCAAAGAACAAAAAGATTGTCATATTCAGAATGATTTGTTCAATTGTTTGCATTACAACAGTACTATATGACTTAACTATTTCTGTCAACCAAAATAAATACTTTCACATATGGTATTCATTTCAAATGAAGCCATCCGTCAATTTATCACAAATTGTTCAATATCAACCAAGACTTGTATGTCTATAAACATACAACTACACTCACTGAAACGGTAGCTTAAATTGATTGAAAAGTAAGTCGGTTACCAGGTGAGTTCATTCATGACTTCACTTTGAAACCAGAGTTTCATTTGGTTTGTCGCATTCTGATTTGACTGCCTGCACTATTTCACCAATCCATTCAAGTTGTAACATGGTATGAAGTGAACTTTCCTGGAATCTATCAATGTCTGTTCATGTTCAGATTACGGGCATTATATCACAATTAAATATCATTGAATTTTTCAATTCATAATTCACACAACGTTTCCTCATTTCACATTGTCATCCTAACGAATATTAAATGAATGAATCTTGAATACTATAAAAAATCTTTATAATTTCATTACGAATGATGAATAGTTTAGCTCAACACTACCATAATTGATCATTAGTAGTAAACAGATGACCAACTTATTCCATTCTGTTTCCTTTAACCACTAGCCATCAGAGTGCAAATACAGAATGTTTTGAGAAGTGGACAAATCATTTGAATTACTATTTTCTATGCTTGGGTATCCCTACTTACTTACGTCTGTTACTCACAATGGAGCATAGGCCACTGACCAGCATTCTCTAACCCACTCTCTACTGGGTTAGTAGCTTACAGATATTGAATAAAGCTTGTCAGTTACTTTATATTAGACTTCAAAGGTTTTAATGTATGAAAGTCACTAATATAACTTACTTCAATGGTTTCCTTATGTGAATAACCATCCAAATAGTCACTAAAACTAGAGTCATTTACTGTTGCTGAAAATCTCCTCCCATTGAAATCCCATGGCATTGGTAAATGAGATCGTGTAGACCAAAATGCCTCTTCATCATTGTAACGTTCCCTTTTGGATATAACTTTTCCGGAATAAGAGATAATTCCATGTTATTGATACCCGTCTCAGTCCATAATAAATTATTGGTTGTCCTATAGATGTGAAGAATATATTGTATGATAATTGAGTAAGCTAAACACATTACACTATCGAAATGCTTCAATGATTAATTGTGAGTGACTACAGATTAAACACTTCTTGCTTAGTTTCATGATGGAATTCACAATGTAAACATTGTGTTCACAGAACAAGATACTATTAAAATGTAGGAAACTTGTCAATCATGTCTGCCTGACGACGTCGTCAGTGATTGTTGGATTAATGTTCTGGTATTTAGAATTTGCAGGCAGTTGGAAAATGTGTTTTCATAAACATTCATCATGACATCTTGTAGTGTGTATCAATTTTGAACCGTCGTTCTCATTCAATAGTGTTGCTATAAATGTCTCACAATTTGTGAATTCATATATTCAATGATGAATTAATTTGCATTAGAAGACTAGAATATCAAAATGGAAGAATAGTTTTAATTCATATAAACAGATGTCATAATCATGTTTACATACCTGGTAATAATAATGTTAATGCAAGCTGAATCACATCTGAATCTGCTGGATTATTTGAAGTACTTGTTATCAATCCTAATTTCTCCTTATCAGAGTCTGAATATGTAGAATATTTCTGTATGGCTGTTTTGTCGAATGATTCTCGGGATTCACTTCTACCCCTATTGAAAACCAATTCACGACTGATTATTAAATCAGCCACATCTCTGAACATTAACATTGGATCTGGATTATCGCCCACACCACAACCTGTATCACCAGAGTTCACAGCCAATAATCTGTAGAAGATATTGTACAAAGAACAAACAAGTGTTTCTGAGATCATTTACATAAACTGTATGAAATCAGTAAATTTAAATATGATGTCAATGGTTTGAGCAATAACTAACTCTGTAACAAATTTTATAATAAACGATTGAATGACTCAATATACAATGTGAATACAAGGAAACACAGATTATCACTAGTAGTTTAATAATTCTGTTATTCAGTAATCTTGTTTAGTAAGCTATGCATCCACTGAACCCCTTAAAGTATTTAACTATTTGTTGCATGTTTAAGAAGTGTAGTTTCATTCACTTCCGATTAGATGAGTTTCTACTGATCACTTTGTAGGGCCAGTAAAATGTCACTGATTCATAACCAAATCATCCGGCAGTTGGGTGACTGAATATTGAACAGGTCGTCGGTCCCTGTCAAAGTCAAGGACAACCAACGCTCGTCAGTTGATCATATGCCATGGACTAGCCAATGTGGTAGTGGTCTCGCTATCTTCTCTGTATTCATTCTTACTAATGTATTTCCTTAATAACGTCTTTTGTGTTATACGGTCTTCAAAGCAGCCATAATACTTTTATACGTCGAAGAAGTAATCCACGTTAGATGTTAACCGCGAGATGTGACTTCGAATTTAGCTAGTTCATCACATCATTCCCATCTAACTCGAGTAGGACTCTGATCATTCGACATTCATAATCTACGTTGGTGATCTACAACCTGATACTTTAACACTACCGAGATGACACAGCATTATGGAAAGTATCACTGATTTACATTAAAGCAGATAAAGGTGTACATTCGTCTCTGATAAAATTCTGATTACCACTTTGATTTAAACGACAAAACATTCAACAACATTGATAATCAATAACGAACTTACTTTTCTTTCCCACTTTCCTTAATCCACTTGTTCATTTCTTCTCTTACACCTTCAACAAATTTCACACTTCCATTTCTATATAATTGAGAATTAGGACAGTTTTCCAACCATGTTGAACCGAGCTAAATATACAGATAGAGTAAAAGGAAAGAGAATAGTTTATAAAGGGACAAACATTATCATTGAATTATCATTTGTAGACTTACGTTGCTTTGTGTTCCTTCTTCTTCTTCTTCAACAAAAAATGCAGCATTATCCAGGAGAATTCCATCTATTCCTTCTTTCATCCAAAAGTGGATCACATCCTATCGGTAATAATACAGTTTAATAAGTGGATTCATTGAAACATACAAATATTGCTTTCTGAGTTTCGGAAGAAGTTAAATCTAGATCTACATTCGGTGATCCAAATACAGAATAAAACTTCTGACCACCGATATCTACATTGATCGCTTTTCCGTATCGTGACATCTTTATGTAAAATAAATAATGAGGAGATTATGAAAGAAAGACAATAACTTCACTTTATTATTAAGAGAATTTTCAAACGAATTCAGTTTGACTTTGTTCTCTGTGATCCATTTATGATTGATGGATATGGCATTGAAATCGAATGTCAAGATAACTTTTATGTCCTTTTTATGAAATCTTTTTAAAAGACCACGAAAATCATCCATTGTGCCGACTGCCTCATCTAACTGCTTGTAATCTTCCACTAATCCGAGCATATTGTATGAATTAGTGTAAAATCCTTTAGTAATGGGACCCAATATCACATATCCTGCACCGACTACAGTTTTGATGTAATCTACTTCAGATGTGAGACCTATAAAGATAAAATCATCATTTGAGTGATAGAGGTTTTACACTAATACTCATTACCATTCAAATCACCGACTAGATCGCCAGAAGAGTCTTTAAATGCAAACACATCTAACCAGTAACCAACTGTTGATTTCCAAAATGGTAATTTGGGCACAGATGGGCATTTTTCTCCAACAATTATATAAACAATACATGCTGCTAAAAGACCAAAAAATATAATCCCAAATCCAATTAATAATCCTATTCGAATATATCTCCAACGAGGTTCAATTTTGTCTAAATTAATCAGATCTTCACGAGTGAGTAGACGACTCTCTAATTGAGATTTATGCTCAAGTAACTTTGACGAAAAACTCGTTGCATCTTCTTCTTGTTCTTTTGTCAACGTCCTGTCAAAGTTCTTTGAATAATTATGCTCTCCATTCTCCAAATCAACTTTCTTTCTTTCAGTTATCTCCTTTGGATTTTCAAGATTTTTCATAAATAGTAGACCGTCGACGATTTTCATGACTTTGTTTGGATACCGACTTGTTCTCTAATGAACTGTAATGAAAGTAGTCAATTTGAATAACAAGACAGTTGCTTCAATCTTTCACCATTTATGTGTTCTTATTTATATACTATTCCTCTAGCCAAATAATTGCTGTGCTTGAACATACAGAAATGTTATAGTATCAAGTGGAATGAACAACTAACCAGTCAACTCAATCTCTTTTCATAATCATTGGATAACTAGTTTGACTCTCTCTCTCTCTCTCTCGCTCTTTGTGTGTGTGTGTATCTAACAGAGAAATGTAGTTCTGAAATGATGATCAAACTAATTAGACAACAAATGGTAGTAAATTTATCTTGCTGTAGTTACGGCCCTACACAAACTTATTTAAAAGTACTTTATTGTATTAAGTCAGCAAATTACTTGTGAACAAGAAGAACTGGTTAATTAAGTTGAATATTGATGACTTCAGTCCCATGTAGTAAACATATAGGTAAACTATATAAGCAACTGAACACTGAAAACACAAGAACTACTGAGGAGTCCCATACTAGGATGAAACGGCCGTCCTGTACTTCCACGTCTTCAGTGGTGGTCTGACGTTGCTCCATCCATGATATATTATTCTAAACTCGACAATCTTCACAGCCCCATACTCAAATTCATAACTAACTAAAGTAATCTACGTTGTCATTTAAAACGAATTAAGATAGATCAGCGAGTAAAGTGTTTCATTTCGATGACAACACTTGCTCGAGTTGTACAACTGCTTGCTTACTTATTTACTTACGACTTTTACCCTAAATGGAGCACATGCTGCCGACAAGCATTCTCCAACCCACTTTGTCATCAGCCTTCCTTTCTAGTTCTATTCAATTTTTGTTCATTCTTCACATATCTATCTCCACTTCTCGACGTAACGTTTTCTTTGATCTTACTCTTCTCCTTTGACCATGAGCATTACATGTGAGGGCTTGCCTTTTGACACAGTTGCCTTCTTTCCTCAATGTGTGTCCTATCCACTTCCAGCGCTTCTTCCTGACTTCCTCCTTCGATGGAATCTGGTTTTTTCTCTCCCACAGTAGGTTGTTGTCGATAGTGTCTTACGAACGGATCCGAAGTATTCTGCATTGACAATTGTGGCAAGACTCAATTTATGAACGAGCCAATTAGAAGCGTTTGAGGAATTTCAAGGTCACTGAGCCAATTTCAATACTTGATGCTCACGTACGATCGGCTTACAGCGGATTTTAGCGAAGAGGTGATTATTGAGCAGCTACAATTTTTTATTATTTTATTTTACCACGTAGATATTGGTACAAGGAGGTACCAAAGACATATGCGCCACACAGACCCCATTTGATATTTGTGAGGGCTGTAATACTGCCCCGGTGCCCAAACTGAAGCAGGTGGTTTACTTAGAAGGCCACACCCTGAGCCTCTGACCTGAAGGTCTGTTCCACGAGGCAGTGGAGCATCGTGAGGTGATGCATTCCTATGGTAGCCGGTGATCAACGATTCGTTCATACGCCATTTGTTCCTTCAGGATACTGGAGCCCATGTGCACCATTGGTTCGGGATCCGGTTGAAGCGCCGGACCTTCGCTTTTCGTCCTCTCATTTTCGTAAACAACACCCTGCCACGAGAAGACATGAATAGGACTTCTCTGGCAGAGGTTGTATACCCGTGGCCGTGTGAGAGCATTTCGGGAGAGCGAGCGGACTCTCCCCACTATCAGCAGTACCAGGGCATTTGGGGGTCACAAGGGACTTTCTAAGAAGTTCCTTTGCCTGTGACTGCGGTAATCAAATGACTGCATTACCGTGCTCAGACTATAGTGATGACATTGTGTTTCGATGTTCTTTATGTTGGAGAAAGAAGTCTGCTCGAAAGGAGACTTTCTTTGTTCGATCGCGACAGAGACTGAGGCAAATCAAGATAATAGTTGCAAATTGGATTATGAAAGCATCAGTATCACTGGCTCATCATTTGCAGATGTTATTGAAACTTCAGCCGTCCAATGGTATGAGTATTGTCGTGATATATGTGCAATTAAAATGCACGTTTACACGAGTCATTCGGAGGAGTTGGAAGTATTTGGAAATAGATGAAACAGTAGTGTGAAAGAGAAATTACAACAGGGGACTTAGTATAAGGGAGAATGGGTATATAGCACTTCAGTAAATATACTTGACAGGTACTTGGAATTTACGACCGGTCAACGCAAAAGCGGCATTTTCAGAGGGTCAATAACCAGCAAGCAAGCACAATAATACCGATTATACAGGAATACGTTCAGCCGGACACTACGATATATACAGATGATTGGAAAGCGTATAGATGCCTTCATAGACTTGGATATGTCCATCATTCCGTGGCGCATAAACGTCATTTTGTCGACCCTAACATCGGGGTTCATACTAATAACACTGAAGCCATGTGGTCAAGATTGAAGGAGTTCTTAAAACCGTATCACGGCTCCAGAGGACAACTATTACGGAGCCATATGGACGAGTTTCTATATCGTGTGCATTATGATTTCACAACACCCGAAACTTTATAAAACTTAACAAGTTTTTAAATCATGTAGAAGAAGAATATCCACTGTAATTCACTGGTTTCTTATAATATATTTTTACTTTATAAGAACTGTCTTCTGACTGGCCAATAATTGTCAAGGCCCTTGAAAATTTGTTCAAAGATCGTTCATAAAGTAGATTCCCGCCGACAATTGCTTTAAACACTTGTATCTTCTGAATGGTGGCTTTCGTAATTCTCCAAGTTTCTGCCACATACAGTAGAACTGTCTCACATTTGTATTGAAAATTCTGACTTTGTTGTTGATTGGAAGTTGTTTTGAGTTGTAGATGTTCTTCAGTTGTAGATATGCTGTTGTTGATTTGCCGATCCACACATTCACATCTGCATCAGATTCACCTTGTTCATCAATGGTGCTATCCAGATATGTCGATGTTTACATCCTCCAAAGTTTCTCCGTCAAGTGTGATTCGTTTGGTGCATGTTGTGTCGTATCGCAGAATCTCGCCTCTCCTTTGTTTATGTTGAGACCTAGTGTTGCTGAGGCTGCTGCTACACTGATCGTGTTCTCCTGCATTTGTTGTTGCGTGTGTGATAGAAGAGCCAAATCTTCTGTGAATTCTAGATTGTCCAGTTGTATCCTAGTTGTCCACTGTATCACATGCTTTCCAACAGATGTTGTCATCTTCATGATTCAGTGATCATCAGGAGAAAGAGAGAGTGTGAGAGTAGGTAACCTTGTCTGACACCGATCTTTACTTCGAACGAGTCTGTGAGCTGTCCTCCATGAACGATTTTGTGGTTTAATCCATCATATGAATTCAGAGGGATGTTGACTATATTCTCAGGTACGCCGCAGTATCGAAGAAGTTTCCATAGTGTTGTCCTATTCACGATGTCAAATGCTTCCCCGTCGTCAATGAAGTTGATGTAGAGTGATGAATTCCATCCAATCCATTGTTCCATAATGATCCATACAGCCGCGATTTGGTCGGTACGCAATCCGTCATTACGAAATCCAGCCTGTTAGTCTCGAAGTTGAGTGTCTTCGGAGTCATTCCTTCTGTTTAACAAAATCCTGTTGAGAGAAGAGTGATGCCCCTATAGTTATCACAGTTGCTGAGATCGCCTTTCTTTGATATCTAGATCAATTGTCCATCTTTGCAGTCTGTTTGTACTTGTTCTTCATCTGTTTTCTCGTTATTCTCCATTAAATTAATTTAAATTATGTCTGACAAATTTCGTGTGTTATACCGTATCCCAGAAACAACTTGGTCAGGCAACTTATCAAGTGTATATGTATGCAAATGAATGTTGATTTCACTTTGACAACAAGTATAATGCAATTGACAACAGACAATTTTATGGGTTTGCCTGAGTTGGAATGAGAAGACATTGGAATGTGATTAATTGGGATGTGACATACTACTTATGAACTAAATGTATTTGCTTGTATGTTCGTGATTGGATATAAAGAAATGTGATCTGAAGCATTTAAGCTATCAGTCGGAGATGAGTATCCCGGTACGTTGACAACTGACACTGTCGATAGACTAAACACAATTAACAGGCTTGGTGACGTCATTTATGAAGTGTTGGGTAAGTGTATCAAAACAAGTATTTGTTTAGATAGTGCCATCTCAGTAACATTGAAAATTCTGTCAATATGATTAAGATGATCTGATAAACTGAAGTACTTGAATTATGGTATGAACTAAGAATCCCAGAAATAACGTAATCGGATCAAGAAGTACTAGATGACCAAAAACGAATGTACTGTATTTAGAATTCTCAATCAAGCATTCAACAAGTACAAAGGTATCATTAGTTCATTCAAACACCACACATTATTTCGCAGTGGTTTATGATAGTCCTTCTTCTAACTTAGTCTGACATACAGTCGATAATTCCGACTGTCTGAAAAATACAACATATACTGTTCACTTGAAAACTACCGTGGTTCTTATACCAGATGTCGTATTTGAATAAAATATGTAATGTTCACAGAAGAACACAACAAAATGGGTACACGGAGACGGACACACAGAAGGTGATGACGGAGCTAAAACACACAGCTAAATCTTTAACTACATCTGTAGTTAAAGCTAATTAGTGGAAGATATTCCATATTTGTCTACATGACTGATCAATTATTTGCTAATTCGTGCTGAACTCACTCTGCAAACGAATTTCCGATGTATTTGTGAAACAAAACCGGAGAAGTAAAGTATAAGGTTGATCCTGATTACTCGTGTTGAAAGAAAATTTCCGAAAGATAATAGGGTGTATGTAGTTCACAATTGCAGGACGAGTAACAGTAAACATGTACAAAGCAGTCAATAGGATCATCGTCTTTATGATGGCACATATTACCTCTACATTGAAGTATTTTTGTTTGTACTCTAGTTCACAGTTTCCGCTTGCGATTCAACAGACTCATTTGATTCTGATTCATGTCACTTACTATCAAATTCTTT